ATTATTTTATGATAAACACTGAATAATCAGAGCCAGATTTAGGGTTAGCCACAGGAGAACCGGACGTAAGGACATTAGATTTGGGAGGGCCATTTTTTTCTCTCCTTAAAGTTAATTCTTATCTGGGCGGCAGAAACAAGCTCAATCATCTCATTAACAGGTCTGAACCACATTAATTAACAAGTGATAAAATATTTAAACATATTATTTTGTTTTGCTAAAATACCTTCGTTCCTTTACTAATTTTTATATGACAGACAATTGATTTTCCTTTTTCTCATTTAAAACTTATTATTTAATACATTATTTTGAATGTAATTTATTTAATTTATTTTGGATGTTGATTATATACTATGTATAACTTGAATTATACAAATTATACTTTGGGGGTTGAAGAGAAATTATATCTGGGGGTATGCGAATAAAAAAGGTTGAATACCACTGTTCTAGGAGACGCGTTCACACTTCAGATTCCGCAATGCGTAGTCATAAATTAATGTATTTCTCATTCAGTTAAACACCCACCGGTTGGAAAAAAAATATGAACAGTTGTGAAGCTAAACTACATTAGCATGCCATGAAAATGGCCTGTCTTGATTTAACCCCGGTGAAAAGAGGGGCGGAATGGGCGGAGTTAAATTCACGCCAAATTTCGTTTATATTCTTCATTGTGTTAATTAAGAACATAAATATATTCAATGACGTATAAATTTAACTGTCACAATTTGGATTCCACGGCCTTGACAGTGCTTTAAGAGGTTTATTTTGGTCCAATTTCCAAGAACGCCTACTTAGGTAATTACCTTCTTGTATGAATTATATAAAGGAAAATGCCAAGTTATTGTACAAAGTTATCACTTCCGTTTGCGCGAATTCGTATATACATGACGACGCCGTTTTCATTCTTAGAAACATCCGATGTCTGTGCCACTCACCGCGCCACACATACGCATTTCAGAATCAGCCAAATTAAAAACCACACATAAGCATTTCAGAATCAGCCAAATTAAAAACAATTAATATGCGATAATATTTTGCCGTGTAATCTTGTGAGTGGATATCACGGCAAAGACAGCGGTGATACGTCCCTCCAAGAAGCTTGTAACAGTCTACAACGCGTTACCATTCATAAAAGAACACTACAAGAAAAGTTCAACTCCCTGAAACACAATCGTTAAACAAGGATCAGAGTATGCCTCCACTGGCGGCCTGCCCACACCAACATAACCTCCATAAATCATATTTTATCCCATTTACCCTTTGAAGCTAAATATCGTCGTCATATACTTTACATTTAATCCTTACCTCAAAGAAAACACAACGTGTGTCCATTACAAAAATCAAATGGTCATGTTGTTTACGGAAGTGATCGCTGTTAGGCTAAAACCCATAAATACACTTAATGGGCAAAATACAGACTGCTAAAGCAGGTGGTACATATTGTTACCATTGGAGTTTTAAACGGTCCAAGAGTCTCCAGAATTACTGAAGTGAATGTTAGTATTACAGAAAAGTACGTAATCTCATATTTACAGGGTCTCTGTCCAAATGTCATTCTTAGCCACTTTGAATTACAAATAACCCAAAACATCACACTAAAAAGGCAAGTCAGAAACGTAACCCCCGTTTAAACAGTCGAGCCTTCGGTTCGCAGACCACAGACTGGTAACCACTGTTCCAACAGAATAACTAGTCGCTTCGTAATAATGCTACAACGTCGATATGAAGCTATTCGTGCTGACTAAACTGCAGAATAATTATTTCTATGCTATCAGATGAGAGTTTCGTTTGTTTCGTACCCTGGGAAGAAAACAGTCGAGGTGTATTTTAATACGTAATGTCAAAGCCGGATGGGAGTAACTGAGTAAGATGGTGAAAGACCTCATTCAAGTCGAGAATGCATCACGGAACTTCTCCAAACGATACAGGTGCAATTTAACAGAAACAAAGTCCTTTTTTTAAGTGGCAGAAACAGACAAATTACATCCACACACCTACTCACCTACCACTTATCGCTTAAACAGAGGACTACCATTAAAACCACTGTTGCCACCCACGTCCCACTAAACTTCTCACAGGCTCGCACGCTTTATGGTACAGTGTGAACACGTCCTCCAATAAAACGAACACTTTTATGGCAGTGCTAATTACACGTAAAGGATTCCTCAAGCAGCTTTAACAGGAAGCTAATTTGTATACTGTACTTCATTCTTATTAATTACAGACAAATAAAAAAAAACACTTTATCGTGTGTAGAATCGAACCACCGATATCACATGCAGACACAGTACAAATTATACACCCCTTCCCTAATTTTGTCTTGAAATTAGATACCACTTCCAGTGTCCAAATGTTCGTCCAACGTTCCACTACCAGTCGGTTGTTATGTGTTTTTCCAAGCAAAACAGGCATACAGACGCAGTGTGCAGTTAATGTTCACAAGTGGTAGATTTAGGCCTACGTATTATGAGTCACACGTCTCGCGTACGTTCGTTTAATCGACACAATAAGCGGACATAAAACGTAGTACACCGAAGTTCATTAAAAGAATGGCAAGCTGTTGGTTTGGGCAGCGTAGAAAAAAATGCAGGACTCGCCTTATTCTTTTCCTTCAGCAGACTTCTCGAAAGCAGAAGACGATGTCAACTATGAAATAAAATTTCATGAAGAGTCACAATAAATGAAGTATCAGAACCACGGCTAAAAAAAATTCACAGAATAACAATGTAGTCTCATGATGTTGACCAGTTGTATTCAACCTTTTTTTGTTCGCGTACCCCCAGATATAATTTCTCTTCAACTTTGTACCCCCAAAGTTGTTGATGTATAATTCAAGTTATACATAGTATATAATCTACATCTAAAATAAATTAAATAAATTACTGATTATTCAGTGTTTATCATAATTTTTATTTTAATTTCACGTACCCCCTAAGATGTGTTCGCGTACCCCAGGTTTAAAACCACTGGTGTAGAGCATAAATCTAGCAGTTAGCACAGAGCACCTTTCCAACATAAGCACCTCCAGCAAAATATATGTATAGCATGGGGTACACCTTTAATTACGAGGTATTTATACTCATGTGGAGGACCCCCCCCCCCATGAACTGTTAAAAATGATGGGCACGTTTCTGAGTGAATAGTTTTCAATGGAAAATATGCTGACTGTGTACTCTTTTAGTTAGGCCTATTTAAAAGTTAAGTGGCACTGCAATGAAGCAGAAAGGACAAACATAACAAATTGCATTAAATAACCTTTACTCATTGCTGTATAAATAATTACTGAGAATACTACACGTTAATGTCTCGTAACCATAATGTAGGCCAAGACCACAGGCCTTCGAATCTGAATCGGTGTTAAAATGCTTCTGGACGGAGTAACAAATCAAAACTGTATACACAAACAAAAGAGAAATTAAATTCGACTCAGAATCTTTCTGTTTTCCTCTCTTCTATCTAAAAACGCAGAGATTAAATATACAATACTATAACATTGCTCTATAT